GCCCCCCGGGCCAGTGCAGGGGTCAATCTCCCAGCAGAGTGCGAATCCGCTGTCGGAAGGGGCACTGCCCTCTCTGCTCGGCATGGCCAGCAGCGTAGCGGTCCCATTCCCCCTGGTATTTCTCACTCCGACCCGTCAGGTGGGATGCCACCCTGGCCCCTGCAGCCCGCTGCCCGTCCCGCGGGATGCGTGGGGGGTGGCCGTTCGCCGGGGTCGAGTCCCCGTAGATCATTCCCAGGAAGGGGAGCAGGCGCGCTGTGGGCCACAACGTCTCATCGGTTTTGTCGCCAGGGATGCCCTCGCCGTGCTGCTGTCCGAAGTCGGCCCAGCAAAGGTAGACCGCGTGATTCCACTCAAGTAGGTACTTCGCCAGAGCGCGGGCGGGGCCGTCGGACTCCACCCCGGCGAGCCGGTAGGTGGATAGGGTTGGCAGGGCGGGGCGCGCTGGTGGGTCCGAGTTGGGGGGCGCGGAGTTGCTGTCACGACGGGCCCAGACGGTCTCGCCGGCTTGTCCAGCTGGACTGCTGAGCTCCACGTCGTTGGAGGTGGACTCGCCCATTGGGGCCGATGGCCTTGAATAGGCGTCCTTCGCCGCTGCATTGACGCCTGATGGGGAGAGGTGGGCGCTGATGTCGTAGCTCTCCTCTTGCACTTCTGCCGTTGCTGCGCGCTCAGCGGGGGCGGGGGGGGCGCGCCTCGGAGGAGCGCAGGTCCGAAATGCGGTTGAGGGCACCGGGTGCCACATTCCAGATGCGGATGAGACATCTCCTGCAGGCCCAACCTGCATTCCATTGCTGCTGTGTCCAGAGCGCGGGCATCGCGCCCCATGGCGGGAGCCCTGTCTGCCCGTTGCGCGGTGCCCCGGGTTCCGGGCGCCACATGAAGCAGCCGAGTGCGGGGCTGCCTGCCGCCCGCGCGAGCAGTGGCGACCCCTGGGGGCAGGTGTCGCACATGGCGGTGTAGGTGCTCGTGCGGTGCGAGTCTGGCCCGAACCTGCCGTCCGACAGCTTGTGAGCTGGGAGGGCGGTGCCGACCTTCTGTGGCTGAAAGGCGGGCGGAGTGCGCATGGCGAGGTCACCCAGGCAGGTGGGGGGCGACGCGGTGGTCGGCTGCCCGTGCCCGATTGGCAGCCGGTCCAGGGGGGGGAGGGCGCGGGCTTCCCTTCGAAAGCGAGCCTCGTCCAGTCTGCGCTTGTGCTCCTGGAGGCGCTGCTGTAGCGACTTCTTGGCGCAGAGGTTTTTGCTTCCGGCCAGGGGAACCTCGATGCATTTCTTCTCAAGCGACTTGATCCAGCACCGTTCACATAGCCACCTGCAGCTTCGGCCCTGCATGTAGGCTTGGGGGCGGTTCTGCGCCAGTAGCTCTTTCGCGTCGCCGCCCTCGCAAGTGCCTGCTGTGCCATGGGGCCCCGCGTTAGTGCACCCGTCGCAGTCGTAGCTGCCGTCCTGCTGCCTGGTGAGGAACCAGCCGTCGCTGACGGCGGGGGGGATGAGCGCGGCGCCGGGGGCCGGGGGCGCGGGGGAGTCCTCGTCCAGGCGCTTGTTGGACATGGCAATTCCCCCGCCGATGCATTGCGCGTCTGCCATTGTGTCTGGGCGGCCAAGCCCAGCCTTAGCCCCAGCTAGCTCCTTGTGCAGCGTGCAAATGGAGCAGCCCCCCTGGCCCAGGGACTTGATGTCAGCCGGTTTGACGATAGCTTCCAGCACCCGCACGGGGGCTTCCAGGGTGAACTTGTGTTCCGGCATCCCTGACCACGCTTTGGGGCAACCATGGATGGTCGCAACCGCGTGGTGGTGAGCGAAAGTGGCGAGCGTGCTGATGTGCCTGATGGCGTCCTCCATTTTCCCATGGAGGGATGCGAAGGCACTCGGGTCGAAGCCCCAGGCCGCAGCAAACTGAGCCCTGTACTCCTCGTGGGCGTCCTGCCAGGGGAGGCAGAGGCCCGTGGCTGCTTCGATGATGTCCCCCGTGGCTTCAGGGTGCGGGAATGGCCATAGCGTTGCTTGGGGCTCACGCAGCTGGAGCATCATCGCCGCCAGGGGGGCCGTGAGCGAGGGGGTGTCTAAGGGGGGCCCGTGGCTGCTGAGTAGGGAGAGCCTGCGCGCCGAGTCGTCTTGGCCTGGGCGGAGCAGGGGCTGGTGGTGTTGCATCCCTGGGTGCACCTGGTGCCGCTTGCATGTCCCAGTATCTTGGCTCCAAGCCTCGGGGAGTTGGTGTAGCACGTTCTCGGGGGTGCACCGGCAGGTGCGCTTGGGGCGATGGCTGATGCCCCTGCCGAAAGGTAGGGGGGGGGGGGGCGTGGCCGCGGGGACTTTTAAGGCGCGAGGTGGCCCAGGGGGTGCTCCTCGCCGCCCACGTCAGATTGTAGACAAGGTTGCTCGCGTCGATGCCCAGCTCGACGTCCGTGCATTATCCGAGGTGGCTCCATGCCTTCCGATCGAGCCTGCCGGGCTGCCTCGGGGTGGCGCCAATAGACCATTGGTGGGGGTGTAGCCCAGACACTGTGTATAGGATGACCCCCATAGCTGGGTCCTCGACTCGCTTCTGCAGACTGCCTGCACTGGCCTCACCCAGCTTTTCCCATGAGAACTCTGGGTCGAGCGGCGCTGCAGTTCGGTTTGCGAAGTTCTTCTCCATAGAAGCCCGGGCTTTCACGATGGCGTTGTCGAGCCCCTTGATCACGTCATCTCCGGTGTGGGAGGGGGACTCTGGGATCCATGTGGTGAGGTCATTGATGGGGTCAAACTCCTCATCGACTGCCAAAGTCCATCTCTTGCCCATGTGCTCCGGGTGCATGAAGCGAACCCAGAGCTTGGCGAATCTACCGAACTCCGACAGCTCTCGTAGACGTGACCCTGTGGCGGTGCCGAACATCCTCCCGTCTCCGACGGTGACCACGTTGCGGGTGGCGCGGGTGATCGCCACGTTAACCCTGTTGGCGTTGTCCATAAACCCCCAGTCGTGCCACCTGTTGGGCCTGGTGGTCAGGTAGATGACCAGGTCGGCCTCGCCACCTTGACTGGAGTCCATGGTGGAGACGGTGAGCTTCCCGCTCGCCAGGTGTTCTTCGGCAAGTTGTCGCAGCCCGGGAAAGGTCAGGGAGATGCCTGTGAGTTCGGTGCTGCGCTGCACGAAGACACTCGTGTGGTCGCCGGTGCTGGAGGGACGGTCAAGAGGGGGGGTTGAGGGCCCGCTGCCTGGGGCTGCCCCGTCCTTCCCTTTCCCTTTGCCCTTGGTCTTGGCCTGCTTGAGGATGCCACTGATGCTGTTCACGCTCTGAAGCCACCCCTTTTCGAGGACGGCGCACTGCAACTGGTATCCGACCACCACCCGCACCGAGGTGCCATTCTGCATGGCGGGCAGGAGGGCGCGTACGATGTCCACTGTCTGCGTGGCCTCTGGCAGGTTGGCGCATCCTGCGTGGAGCCGTGAGGTGACTTCCAGGGAGGGGTTGTCCACCAAGAGGAAGCGGTGCCGCTCCTCCTTGCACTGGTTCGCAGGCATCAGACCGCGCAGCGTTTTCTCCATGTCGTCCTTGGTGGTGGACGCCGCCGTAGCTAGCTCACCATCTCTGGTGTCGTCCCAGGGGCGAACTTCCTGCCATGGGAGCCCCTCGACCAGGGGTCTATGAGTCAGGGGGTCGGTGAAGCCAGTGTGCATCGTATTGTTGTAGAAGGCAAAGTTCGGCCATGCCAAAAGCAGGGGATGCATGCGGCAACAGAGGCTGAGCTGCACCAGTGCAGACTGGTCGTCCCCCAAGGCGTGGTGGAAACGGTCGAAGATGGAGAGGCATAGCCCCTGGTCTGCTGCCTTCCTAGAGATGACGGTGGGGGGGAGCTGCTCGGGGTCGCCGGCCAGCACCATGTGCCCGCCTGAGCGGATGACGCTGTCGAGGGACAGTGCGTCTATTAGCTCATGGGCTTGCCCAGCCTCGTCTATGATGAGTAAAGCAACCGGGGCAACTTTCCTTAGCGTTTCCGCAGATTCACGCGTGGCAACGATTGTCTTGGCGTCCTCGAGTAGCTGGGTCCGAAAGGCGGGAAAGTCCTTGGAGGATCCGCCCTCGTATGGGAACCTGCCGTAGGCTCTGCAATAGTGTCCTCCAAGGGTGAGCGCAGCGAGTGTCTTGGCCACTTTGAAATCTTTGGCCAGGCGGACGCATCTGGTTGGGTACCCTGTCCGGGGGCCCAGCTTGTTGGCCTGCTGTGCGCTGATAAGACCGAGTGCTGGCTGATCAGCGGCTGTGTTGGAGCCTGCTGTCAGGGCAACTGTCTGTCCGTCCGGAAGTGCGTCGGCCCAGGTGTCCATGGTGGCGACGGAGAAGACCGTCTTGCCTGTGCCGGGGGGCCCGTGAACAATTGTTACGTGGTGTACGGTGGAACGGCTGGTGGGGTTACGCGACGCGTCAAGACTTGCAACATCGCGAAAAATCACGCCCGGACCTCCGGACCCCATATTTCTGCGTCATTTCTTAGGCCGGCTCGTTCTGGAAGGGTCCCGGGGCCCGAAATGGAGCGAAACGCACGGCTCGAAAAAATTGAATCGCCAGGATCTCAGGGGTTGCGGAGAAGCGCGGGCGGCACGGGTGTCTGGCTGCCCCGTCGCGGCTCCGTGGGCCTTCGGGCCTGGGCGGCCCCAATAGGGGGTCACATGCGAACCCTACCCCTACCCCCCACGATTCGCTTCGTTCGGGAGCTCCTGAGCGAAGTGAACCCCACCCTTCCCTTCAGAAATCGTGGGGGGTAGGGGTAGGGTTCGCATGTGGCCCCCTACCCAAGGCGATGCCCGGGAAGGGCTCGCAGCATGCGCCGGCTCGTCCAGTCGGCCAGGGAGCTCGGTGCACGGACGCTTCAATTCGAATGCCCCAGGCTTGGCATCCTAAGCTGACGCCATCGATGTTCTGCGTGGCGCCATAGTTTGGGCTTTCAGCGCCAACATGCTCCTACAGGGCACGGCAGAGACAGCCATGCAAACGTGGGCACATAACGAAAACAGAGGCGTTAGTATAAGATCATGGGGGCGATCGCCAAAAACAGGCCAGGGTGTCTTCCCCAAAGAGCACCATCACTTTTATCCAGTTCGGATATGGCATTGCCAAGCGGGCGCGCTGTGCTTCGCCGTATGGTGACAGTCACGCTCGCAGATGTCACGGTACCAGGAGAGATCTTCATTTCTGGTGGTGCGACGTTCAACGAGGATTCTACCATCTCCATGCCTTGCGACTTGAAACTTGTATTCAAATACGATGTGAACAAGAACGAATCATTCACTATCTCTTCCGTCATGTCGAAGACTTTCTCGGCCGAGTTAAGAGGTGCAACTACCTCAAACCCGATGTCCCATGAATTGAAATGTGACTGGGCCGAAGCAGAAGCGACATGTACCACTCGATGATCACCATTTCCACCATAAAAAAATGACACACGGGAACGTATAACGTTGGTCACCTCATCCCGTGTGCCAGAACTTTCAAACGACATGGAACTAGTTACCACGTAAAGTAGCGTGGCGGCAGCAAGCTGCATAGTACTGGCACTGCTTGCAGTGGTGTTGGCCACAATTGTGCTGCTCTCAATGGGACTGGTCACCGAAATGCCTGTCGCATTGGGGCTCGGCGTGGGCGTAGGTGCGGGCATGGCCGTGCTCACCGAATTGTATCCGATGAGGGGTCGCGCGCTGAGAAAATCCCACATCATCTGCGGACCGTCGAACATGTCATCGGATCCTGTACCTCTGTTGAAGTCATGACCCCCTGAGAAGATGCATCTGACCACACCCGCGCCACCCTGGCAATCATACCCGTCCTCTACACAACTCATATCATTCGCGGTATAAGGTCCAACCGGAAACTCACGAGCAATTGTGCCATTGCAGCCGTTATGTTCGACATAGTAAGCAGTGGACTCTCTCAGACCTGCGTAGATATAACCATCCCACCAACTCTTGTCCGTCGGTGGGCCGGCCCCTGGGGGGTCATAAGGTGGAAAACTACGATCTCTATCCCCGCCAATCATGATTAATGATACGGGTGGGCCGTCTCCGAGCGCTCCGTCCCATCCTGCGTGGGGGCGGGCGCCGCAAGCGGAACCAATTCCAGCGAATTGGCCTGGCAAGTTCTTCACCAGCTCGAACGACAGAACTCCTCCATTCGAGCACCCAATCGCATACTGTCTGCGGAGGTCTACGCAATACTCTGCTTGCAAAGAGTCCAGCATCTTGCCGACAAAAGCCACGTCATCGTAACAAGTGGTCCAATCGCACGGGTTGCAACCGTGAGTCTTAACCGCACAACTTTCGTAGCAAACATTCTTATTATAAGCTTTAGAGAAGTTCCCGCAAGCTTGGTCATTGTTCGTTGTTCCCCCACCGTTCCACGAAAAAAAGTTCTTGCACTCAGCACCTGCTTGACAATCACCAACTCCTTGTGGATACACCGCAATGAAATCGTTCTCTCTTGCAAGGTCGCCAAAACCGTAGGAAGTATGATAAGTGTAGCCCCGCTCACCCCAACCGTGGAACACCATCACCAACGGAGATGGCGACGACTGGGAGTATGATGGAGGCAGATACACACTGTACGTTCTGTTGATCTCTGGCAGGTCCAGATCTGGGGACGGCATGGTCTTAATCGAAAGTGTGTCCTTGTTGAGGCTGACATTGCTACCGCACCCAACGCTCGGCACAGGGACCATTGAGCCCATCTGAATCCGACGCCGATGGGAGCAGCTGCATTCAAGAAACAAGCAGAACGAGGCGGCAAACCAAAGCAAGCGGTAAGACGACAATGTCAACACACATTCTTCACACATCGCTCACACATCTCTTTGGGCGAACATGCCTTGAGCCATCATAGCTACGGACAACACGCGCGTAGGAATGGGAGGAAGAATCAGCAGCAACTACACACAGCTAGCTCGCACATGACAGCGGGAGCCATAGTTCTGCTCTTCTGTGGGTCGGCGGAATGGCGTAAGCAACTTGAGTAAGATGTCAACGTGTATGGTCAATTATGTCCAGAATATGTCAAGCAGGAGCCCCGTTTTGAAACGGAGCGACCTTCATCTGTGCAAGTGTTGGGTCTATGCAAACATCGGGTTGTAACTTCTGAAACGTGGTCTTACAAGAGAACCCCGTTTTCGTACACATAGCAGCTGCCCGCATGTGTGCTGAACTCTTGTCCATGTTGACGCCTCCGGGGGCATCAATTCAGGGACGTCCTGAACGACAGAGCACTCGGATAGCCACCCTCCATCCATGTAAATGTTGCAAGCTTTAAGAGGCGATTGTGCGCGATGATCGGGTACTCATCACATGTTCAAAACCACATCAGATCTATTCGCGAATCTGCTCTAGTTCTCATACGAACGCGCGCTGCGCTAAAACGAACACCACATTTTGGGAACGAGCCGCCAGCTGTCTGAGGTGTCGTGCGCCCTGCGCTGATTCCAATATCCAATCTCCAGCGTCATAATTTTACTAAAGCCTGCTGTTTCCTATGGTAATAATTGCCTTCCGCGCGGGGGCAAGGGGGGGGGGGGCGGGGGGCGAAAAACACCTGGTTACCACGCCCGAGTCGTGTTGCCTTAATTTCTGGTGGCTTTGGGACACGTCAAGATACGCGAAATTCGCGGTCCCGAGGAACACAGCTTTTTGTACATCATGTCAGACTCACGTTCCCGAGGCAAGTTTGTTCAATTGCAAATTACGCCGCGTTCGTGCTACCGATACCAGAATCCTTATGACATTGCGCCAGATCCGCGCTCCCGAAGACAAGTTCTATACTAAATCACTGTATATATTCGCGCTCCCGAAAACAAGCTTCTTTTAAACTGCACCAGGTTCGCGCTCCCAGAGCCCGTTGTAATTTACGCCAGGTTCGCGCTCCTAGGCCAGCATCCATCGTAAATCCCACCAGCCCTGTGGGCGACAAGTGGTCTAAGGAGGGTCTCTTTCCTCTTCCACGACCCCTCTTCCCTTTTTTCCGAAGGATCGCAAGGTGTCGGAGGGTCCTTTTTCGGCCATTGGGAGGGCCATTTTCTGCCACCCCTCACGAGGATCGTGGCCCCCGGCGGGGGGGGGACCTAAATTGAACACCCCCCCATCGTTTGACCGACCGCCTCCAAGAAGGCCCCAAGAGGCCCTCCAGGGCTCCCAAGAGGCCCATAAGAGGGCTCCAAGAGCGCCCCAAAAGGCCCCCAAAGGTCTCCAAGAGACACCCGACAAAAAAAGGCACCCAAGAAGCCGTCGAGCGGCCTCAGAGAGCACAGGATGACCTCCAAGATGGCTCAGATAGCCCAAGCTGGCTCAAGATGGCTCCCAAAATGCTCCAAGCGGCCCCAAAACCGTTACAAGACGGCTCGAGATGGCCGCGGGGCCTCCCAAACCTCCCTCGCTGTTTGACTATGCGTGTCTCTTCCTCTCTCCCCCCGTCAACTCTCGCGGGCATCGTTTCTAGATGGGCTGGTGGGGATTTGTTGTTCGCGACCGCGGCGAAGAAAGGTCGGGCGGCGTCCAGGGAATTGCAAACTAGCAACGGCCTAAACTAGCGCAAAGGAAGAGGAAGCGACAAGAAACTTACAATAGCGAGCAGGAGAAGACAAACAGGAGGCGAGCCTCACTGCTGCTCAGAGGAGCGCAAGCACCAGGACGAACTTCTGGGCGACGAGCACCACCAAATGGTACTTCAAGAAGCCCGCGTCCTAAAGGAAGAAGACCGCTGGCAAGACGAACGGCGCGCCGTGGACGAAGCCAGGGGGCAGCGTAGGACGGCGACCCCCGACGCGGAGGAAGGGCTGGACATGCGGGCGCTCAACGGCAAATCCAGATCGCCAGACATCGAGTGGTGTCGAGGGGCAGCGGTAGAGGCGAGCCCCGACCGAGCGGCAAAGCGAAAAGGAAAGGCCAGAGGGCCGGACGCCGAGGAACGGCGGAAATGCCGGAGAGGCAGCGGCAGCCGGCAGACGCCCAGGAGTCGAGAAGCGCGACCGTGTCCGTCGACCCTAAGCGGGAAGAGGGGCAGGCGGCAGGCGGAATGCGAGACGCAGACCACCAGACGGCCAGAGAGATCCCCGAGGGGGGGGTGGCCAGCTGCCAGACCGCCGGGACGGCCATGAGATCCCCCAACGGAGGAGGCTGGAGGAGGTCTGCAGACCGGCGCCCTGCAGGCCGCTGGGAACACCCCGGCACATGTGCCGGGGGGGTTCCCAGCGGCCTCGCGCGCAAAGTCTGGGGTGGCGGCAGAACGGGGAAGGCGAGACACTTCCGCGGGCCAAGTAAAAGAGAGACCGCGAGGTGCGGAGTACGTGGCAACGAGGAGCGTTGGAGCCCCACCGGGAGGAGCACCCCCTGGGGGGGAGCTCGGGCCCGAGCGACGGGCCGGCGGCGGCGGCAGCGGCGGCGGCGACGGCGGCGGCGGCGGCAGCAGAGGCGGCCGCGGCGGCGCGCGGCGCGACGGCGAGGCAAGCGGCCCGCGCAGCGCCGGCCGCGGCCGCGGCGCCGCGGCGCCGGCGGCGCAGGCAGCGCCCGCCGCGACCGGGGTGCCGGCGGCGCGCGCGGCAGGCTAGGCGGCCAGCCGCTGCGGCGGCAGTCGCCACGGCGCGGCGAGCGCCGGCGGTGCAAGCGGCGGCCGCGGCATAGGGCGCCAGCGGCAGCGGAGCCCGCGGCGGGGGCGGCAGCAGCCCCGCGCCGACGCCGCCAGTGAGCCGCAGGCCCCTCGCCGCGAGTAGGGGCGCCCGCCATGGCGCCGAGAGTTGAAGAGGGGCCAGGGCGGGGCGGAACAGCGCCCTGGGCCGAGGGGCCCCCCCTGCGGCCTCGCCGCGAGCAGCCCAGAGCAAGGGCGAGCTGGGGGGCCGGGAGGGCCGGCGCCCCCGGCCGGGTGCTTGCCGGGCGGCATTGAGCGCGAGGCCAGGGCGGCCGCCAGGGAGCCGCCCGCGGAGTATGGGAGGGGGCGCGTGAGTTGAAGGCGACTGACGGTCGCAGTATATGGCAGAGAGAGGAGAGCCCAGAGGACTGAGGTGGCGAGCGCGACTAACGGTCGCAAGCTGTGTGAATGGTATGAACTGACGGCGGGCGGCCGGAGGTCGGCGCTTCGGGCAGGGGGGCCCCCTGCGACCTCTCGCGCCGGGGCGGAGCCAGGCCGCTCGACGGCCCGCGGGAGGGTCCGAGGCCGATGAACGGCAAAAGAAAAACCTAAGCGCGCTGAGAGTGCCCGGCGACTGGGGGCGCGCCATGGAGAAATGACGCGGCGGTGAGACGTAGCACGCGTTCCTTCCAGTGACCTCCCAGCCGGAGGCGAGGGGGGGCCGCCGAAGACCCCCGGGCGGCCGCCAGAGGCGGGGGCGCGGGGGGCGGCGCAACGCCGGAGGGCGGAGGGCCACAAAAGGCGGCCCAGGGGCGAGGGCCTCCTGGGGGCCGGGCGCGCGCCACCAGCCTCGGCTGGGCGCGCCCCAAGCGGCATTGGGAACGAAGTCAGGGTGGCACCCCAGGGGGTCGCCCGCAGGGCGGGCTTGCAGGCGGGTGGGCGAAGTGGAGGAAACCCGAACTCGGGCCCGTCGGCGAGCGGCGCGGCAAGGGGCCGGCACGCGCGGGGGGGGGGGGAGCAGCGGCGGTTGGGTGTGAAGGCAGGTAACCGTGGTAGGGGCGACCCACGGTCGCGTTCCAGGGGAGAGCGAAGAGCCCGCTGGTGCGAACGGGACGCTGTAGAGAGGGCGGTGTATGGCGAGGGGGTCTACGGTCGCGCCCAGGATTGGTGCGCGCTCGCGGCGCGACTTGTAGCTCACTGGTTTGCCTGCCAAGAGGTGCCGTCAGCTCAATAATCCTCGCCCTTGCCCTTGATCGAAGTACCTTTTCCTTCCCCGCGGCTCGCGAACTTGTCGCGGACGGTTGGCCAGTTGACCCGAAGCCGAAGGGCCCTGTCCATAGTCATTGGGTTGCAGTCGCGTTGACGCCCGGCCTGGAGCAAGGCCGCGCAGGACCCAGGGTCCTGCTTGGCGGGGCCCGCGCAGACGTAGCCAGTGCCGGCGGGGCGCACGTGCGTCCACTGGCGCCCGATGCCACTCAAGTAGTCCCCGAGCTCTCTCTCTCTGTCTGTCTGTCTGTCTGTCTGTCTGTCTGTCTGTCTGTCTGTCTGTCTGTCTGTCTCTCTCTCTCTCTCTGTCTCTCTCTCTGCAGGCGCTTCGCAGCGGCGGCGTGGCCCTCGCCAGCGACGGGGGGGAGTTGGACTTCTTCCAGCGGGGCCCTACACATGTACCGCCCAGTGCGGGGGTCGTCTAGGTCATTCGAGGGGATGGGGTTGGGCCAGGGGGCCGACCGCGCGCGCGCATGCGCCCGCTGGGCGCGAACACGGCCTCACGATTCACAGCGGTGAGCGGGGCCCCAGCTGGGCCAATCTGCCCGCCCACTCCTGTTGCGGCTGTGGGGCTCGCGGTTAGAATCGCAATGGCTCCAGGGCCAATTTCTGCGTAGGTCTGCAGCGCCGCCGCCGAAGCCGCCGCGTCCTGTCGCCGAGCCGCTCGGGAGACAGAACGATGACTGAGGGGCGCAGCTGCCCCAGTGCGCAACGCGCAACCCGCAAAGAATTGACGCAAAGCTCAGCGCGGAGATTGGCAGCGTAGGTCTGGCGCGATACGTTCGTCAAAACGTGGGCTAACACGCCTCGAACCAATATGCAGCGGGTTCCACCGAAACGTTTTGAACGCGGTGCCTGTTGCGTTTCAACGCGGGCGTAGCATGGCAACCAAGGTGCAATGTTTGGCTTCGGCGACACCGTGATAACGATGGCCGACGGGTGGGCCTGCGAGTGGGTCGAGCT